CAGAAGGGGGCGCGCCAGACTGTGCAGTAACCTTCTGTCTCTTCGCAACAGGGCTACGTGCCACGACGCGCTCGAGACGCTCACGGAACGAAGACATGATGGGAGATCTCGCTGCAAAAGGCGACGAGCAAGGGTCAAACCGTAAGCCAAATGTACAAACGATGGTCTAGCAAATGAAGGGGAACAAACCACGAGTAGAGGCACGCGGTGGGCCGACAGCGGACCCGGAGGACCTGGGCTCGGCAAAAACCACGTCCGAAGACCTCGAGGATCCCGGGGACTGCTCTGGCGGCTCATCGTCTGATAACTCGATCAAGGGACGCGCGTCCGACTGGGGTGTACGCAGAAGGCGCGGGCGAATGCAAGGCGGTAGCGGCCCATCCGACACAAAGCCCAGGCTACGCATGTTCTCCGGCGTAATCATCTCGCCAATGACAATCTCTCCCCGATCACCCCGAAAGGCATGGACGTCCCGGGCTAGGGCGGCCGTCAGAAGCGGGGTCCTGTGGCGCACAAACCTGTTGTTCCAAGATAGGAACGGCCGACGATCACCAACCGAGATGAAGACAAAGTGCGGTTTCCAATCTCTGTTGGTCTGATTGAAGTCATGGAACGTCTTCATACGCGCCCAGGCCGCTATACCCACGAACCCCTTACTGGCCTGGCCGGAGGACGAAGTGACTTGAAACAAACTCTGGAAGAGATCCAGGTAGGACTTGACACGAATGGTGTGGCAGCGAAGCAAGAAGGCAAGAAGTAGGTAATGGGCATTCGGCACCAACTGCCCGGGTGCGATGCCGTAATGATTGAGGAAGGATTCGACGAAGGGATGAATAGGGAAGCGAAAACCGAGGTATAGGGACTGCACGTGAAACCCGAAGAAGAGAGGAGTCGGAGGCTCGGTGACATTCGCCGATAGGGAAGGCAGGCGTACCTCGCCCGCAGATCCAACATAGCGTTCGGCCTCCTCAAACTCCTGAACGAATGTCCGAGCCAAAGTCGAGGCCGCGATGAGTGTCTCCAAAGGGGTGTACTGGACACGATCCTCGTACGGGACCGCAAAGGGGTCCTCCATGACGGGAGGATGGGCGTCCAACGGACCCTCGTATGGTATGGTAACTTCCCCAGAGGGGGAATGAGCAGGAAAAGGAGTAGGGGCGTCGCTAAAAAAAGGGGCGTGGATTTAGAGGACCTCGGCCCAGGGCCGAGGTCGGGGTCGGCACACCGAGGCCGGGCCGACCCCGGGGTCAGCACGGCCTCGGCGTGCGAGGTCGGCGCGGCACGGGGCAAGCTCGCCCCGACGCCGGAGGACGACACGGCCACGAAGGCGCGACCTGTAGGCCCAACCCGTGGCGACGACGCCGGCGCACCGGCGCCGTGATGGACGGCGTGTTCGAGGAAAAACCGGCGCACCGGCGTCGTGACGGACGGCGTGTTCGAAAAAAAAAAAATAGGGGCGGTTTGTGGAGGACCACGGCCCAGGGCCGGGGTCGAGGTCGGCATAGCCGACGCGAGACCAACGCAGCGGATCGGCCAGGACCACGGAGGCGCGGCTACGACGCCGGAGGCGGCACGGCCACGGAGGTGCGGCCTGTAGGCCCACCCCGCGGCGGGGGGCGACGAGGCCACGGAGGCGCGGCCATGACGCCGGAGGGCGGCACGGCCACGGAGGCGCGGCCCGTAGGCCCACCCCGCGGCAGTGTCGCAGCGACGCTGGTGCGTCGACGCCGTGACGGGCGGCAGGTGGCAAAAGCGAAAGAAAAAAAGAAAAAAAAAAAAGAAAAAAGGGGAAAAAGAAGAGGAAGAGGGAGCATACCGCGCTCGGGCCCGGGGCTCGGCGACGGGGAGCAGCTGGGGTCGGTCGGAGGTCGGGTTGCCGCCGCGGGGGAAGGTCGCCGGAGACTCGCCGGTGGACTGTCGGTGGAGGTGGTGGCTCGCCGGAACTTGGGGGGAGAAGAGTGTGATGTTGATGGTGAAAGTGTAGAATGGGAGGGGAGAAGGGGTTTATATAGGAGAGAGGGAGATGAAGAGGGGGGGAGTATTGAAATTCAAAATGCAAAAAAGGGGGGGGGGGGGGGTGGGGGGCAAAGGTGAAGAGATGGATGTGATTGGTTGACTTGGAGGAGATGATCAAAACCTAAGAGGACTCTACCGTGTATGTGTCCTAACAGATGAAGGAGTCGTATTCCGGATGGAGGTTTTCATCATTATCGCGAGAAGTACACCTGGACGGCACCTATAACGCAGGGACGCAGGCGTCTCAGGGTTGGCATTTTGTTAGGTCGGCCAGAGCATCTACTCTCCTTCACTGACGATTACTCGCAGCTCGGAGAGTGGGGGACTGATGACGGATATATTAGGAACCGACCTGCACCGACCTGAGGGCGCGGACAAGAACGGGTCCCGGGGCGGCGCCACGTACCCGCCCCGGACGGGGCCTCGCCACGTGGCCCCCGCACGGGCCACGTCGGAGGACGGGCCAGCCTCTCCAGGAGGCCGGGCCGACCTCCAAATGGGCTCAGCCCGAGCCCATGACGGGCTCGGCCTGGCCCCACAACACGGCCCGGTCGCGAGACCGGGCGCGGTCAACTCGGATCTAACCACCCCCCGCTTTAGGGGGTGGCGGTTAGGGGCGGGGGTTGTATAAAAACCCCCCACCTTGTCTAGTTAGGACACGATCTACATTTCCTACATACTTTGTCCTAAAATACTACTGTAATAGCCAATTCTACGGCATTTAATACAATCTACGGTCTCACGGCCTTTGCTATATCATTCGTACCATTTATTTATTATTCGTACTCTTATTCGGGTTAGTTAAGTCGGTCCCCCGGTTTAATTAATTCCATCAATTATTATTATTATTATTATTATTATTATTATTATTATTATTATTATTATTATTATTATTATTATTATTATTATTATTATTATTATTATTATTATTATTATTATTATTATGGGAAAATGGCGAGTTTGGTCCCTGAATTATAATGGTAGTGACGACTCATTCCTTGAGTTATGATCGTATCCTTTTTTAGTCCCTCAGTTATGATTGAACTGGCGCATTTGGTCCCTGACATTTAAAATTGACGAAAAAATTAAAAAAATATTTAAAACTTTAGGGGTAAAGTAGAAAATTTACATTTTTTTCACTTTCTTATATTGAAACCACTTTTTCAACATTATTTTCAACTTCCTAACATTGTATTTCAAGGTTCTTCAATTCCAAAAGTAATTCAATAATCTTCTTATAACTTGTTAGTAACCTGAGTCTCGTATAAGGGACTTATGACTCAGTACAAACAAGAAAACACTTGATCATTGTCTTCAATCATATAAAACACACAATCATAAAAGTTTCAGATTTCCATTACTAAACATTATGGTAATCAAACCATAACTTTTGGAATACAAGAATATATCAAATTTCTCAGTTATTCTCATGACAAATTCACTAAGGGAGTAACTTGAGAATTTTAGTACGTAAAATTATTTCGTAAGCTCTACAGTAACTTGATCAAGAATCGTATATCCTGACAATATATGAAAATTATATTATATATATACCCATCACTTCATCTGTCTTCTTAAAAACTAGAGTAATGAATGAGAAACCTAAGACTCAGTTATGAAAATTCTAAAAACTTTTGTAACTTTTAAAAACGATTATTGACTGTTGCATATGAAAATTTTTTACATACTAAAAATCTAGGGTTATTCCGTTGGTGAATTTTTCATAAAAGCAATCTGAAAAATTTGACATCATTTTGTATCTCAAAAGTTCTGGTTTGATTACCTTTGTTGCTTAGTAAAGAAAATTGAAAATTGATAAAATAGTGTGTTTCACACGTCTGAAGACAATGATCAAGTGTTTCTTTGTTTATGCTAAGTCTTAAGTTTGTTATATGAGAGCCAGGTTCCTAACAAGTTATACTAAAGTTATTGAAATGCTTTTAGAATTGAACAATCTTAAAATAAGAGGCTAAGAAGTGAAAAATAATGTTGTGAAAGTGATTTTGATATAAGAAAGACAATGATCAAGTGTTTCTTTGTTTATGCTAAGTCTTAAGTTTGTTATATGAGAGTCAGGTTCCTAACAAGTTATACTAAAGTTATTGAAATGCTTTTAGAATTGAACAATCTTAAAATAAGAGGCTAAGAAGTGAAAAATAATGTTGTGAAAGTGATTTTGATATAAGAAAGACAATGATCAAGTGTTTCTTTGTTTATGCTAAGTCTTAAGTTTGTTATATGAGAGTTAGGTTCCTAACAAGTTATACTAAAGTTATTGAAATGCTTTTAGAATTGAACAATCTTAAAATAAGAGGCTAAGAAGTGAAAAATAATGTTGTGAAAGTGATTTTGATATAAGAAGGAGAATAAAGTGTGAATTTCCTACTTTACCCCTCAAATTTTAAATATTTTCGCCAGTTTTAACGGTCCGGGACCAAATATGCGCCATTTCGCTCATAACTGAGTGACTAAAAATGGATACGGTCATAATTCAGGGACTGAGTCAGAACTTGAGTATAACTCAAGGACAAAAGATGCAATTTTTCCTATTATTATTAATTTTTAATTTTTAATTGTTTGAGTGAACGAGTTTGGATGGAAGAACAAAAGTAGGATTTTGTTTTTAATAATAGTATAGAAGTATAGATGATATAGATATAGAGTTTGGACGGGAGAACAAAAGGTATGTTTGGTTGATGAGTTTTGCCGTAGGAATTAGTATGAAAGTTATTGTTATTGTTTGGTTGATAGGTTTTTAGAACACTACTATGGGTTTGGAATACCCCATGAATTGAAAAATTCATATCCAAATAAAATAAGAGTTTCATTCCCTTATTCATTTTTAAGCGTAACCATTCACATTCCACTCTACTACCAAATATGTTAAATACTTTCACCGGAACTCATTACCATTACTAAGTATTTGATACCTAATCCGATTCTGATTCCCATGTGCAAACCAAACACACCCCGTGATAGAATAGCGACATTCCGTCGAATCGGACCTGCCTTGTGCTCCATCGAAGATCCGATCGTCTCCGTTCAGGTGTTTTTCCAGCATTATTCGTATTTAGTAGCGTTAATACTTCAATACAAGCTATTCTTGTGTTTATTTTGTGTTTGCTGTTACTAAAATTTTTCAGTTTTTTGTTTACTTCAGCTTCAATTTGATCTTCCTTCAAATCCTTTGTTTAGAAATACTCTAACCCTAAGTCTGAGAGGTTGGCCCTAACCAGTTTCTATTTGTTTATTTTCCACCATGTAGAAGGGAGAAGCTAGTGATATAGTTCAATTCACTCTGTTTTATTCTTTTTCCATTTTGTATATATTTAATTTGAGCTTGAATGGTGAATAGTTTGGGTTTTCATGTAGTAATGTATTCATTGGATACGATAGTTTGCAGATATAAATGTCACTGTCATTATTATTATATTATCAGATCAAATGGTTAACTTTTCAAGGTTAAGTATTATAGAAGGATATAGATAGGAATATTTGGGTGATGAAAAGAAAACTAAAACAAATATTGTAAACTATTCTTTTACAATTGGATTTTCTAATACTGGTTTCTCCTTTATTAGGAATGGATATCTCAGGAAATAGCAAACAGAAGGCCATGGATGATAAACTTATTAACTTGCCAACGGATGTTTTAACCTGCATCCTAGATCGCTTGCCTGCTCGAGATGCAGCAAGAACAAGTATTTTGTCTAGAAAATGGAGATACATATGGGCTGGTCATCCAAATCTTGTACTTGATCCCAAGAATATAGTCACTGTCACCAAAAATGATTTTGTTGGAATAGTCAATCAAATTCTCTTACAGCATATTGGGCCCATTCTAACTTTTCATGTCAGCCTTTCAGATGTACACATGTCACAGTACCCAAACATTGATCCATGGATACTATACTTGTCAAGAAATGGATTGAGGAAATTCAGAGTGGAGAATTCCAGTCATGATCTCTATGCACTTCCCTCTTATGTATTCTTGTGTCAAGAACTTACGTTTTTGTATCTGTCTAACTGTATCTTCAAACAACCATGTGGTACTATAAGAAGCTTTCAAAATCTTAAGATCCTTTTTTTGTCTCAAGTTGCTTTCAAGCCAGAGGTTTCTGCTTCTATCTTTGCTGCATCAAAGCTTGAATGTTTGAGGTTACAAAGCTGCAGTGGTATGGATCACTTGAACTTTGATGGCTGTTTATCATCACTTTGGGCCTTGATACTTTGCTACAATCACGGGGTTAAACTGAGTTGTTTTATGAACTGCAAAAGTATTACACATGCACGCCTTTTATCGCCAATGGAAGTTAATAAATGTTTTGGCCCTGGTGAGAGGATCAATTTAGCAAGCTTGTTTGAACACTGGCCTCTACTTTCAAACCTTTTTCTGGATGGACACCATCTCAAGGTACAATCTCTTTTAAGATGTCGATTCTTGTTTCCCGAACAATGTGTTTAGGTTGCATTATCATTTTTCTCTGTGTTGGTAAGCTTTTGGCTGCAGGCTCTATTATGAGTGCACTTCCAGTTAAAATCAACAACTTGAGGGATCTTCTACTATATCAAATTAACTTTACCGATCTGGTACAAGTCTCCAGCATCCTTTGCTTGCTTCACAGCTCTCCTAGGGTGCATAGCCTTGAAATTTGGATGAACGTGAGAAACTAATGGTCTACATATATTTATTTATTTCTACCCTACTCTCAGTGTTGTTGTTTGAACTTATTTCAGTTTTGTTGTATGTATAGATTCCGATGGTGACTGCTGACAACAGCCTCGTTTTACAGTATTTGCAAGAACGTAGCTGCATGAGCGAGGAGATTAACAGTTTGCGGGCTTTGAAGATGAAATTTTTCCATGGGTCAAGAGCTGAAATGCTTTTTGTAAAGCTAATACTTGCGTGCTGCCCGGCCTTAGAAAGGGTTAGTTTTGTGGACAAGAAAGTAGTAGAGGTATCGGAAGTCTCTAATATTTTGAAAGAGTTAGTGCTATTCCCTCGAGCTTCAAGGAAAGCACAAATCATATTCTGAACTTGTGACTAAAATTATGCTGGATTAGTTCCAAATAGGTATCATCCCATGTATGAAATTCCTTATTTTCTTCAAAGAATACCTATGCGGACTCCCTAGCTTTCCCTTCCAGTACACAACATTGTCCTCTGCTGAATGGTCTTGATAAATCCTAATAATTACCCTTAAGAAAAATTGTAATTTATGCCCTTTCATAATATGTCAATTATGAATGTCACTCTTGAATTGGGGTAGATGTTGTCTCTAATTTTTTAAAAGGAATAAGGTTCAAATTGGTCACTGAACGTATCCTAAAAATGCAATTAGGCCACTGAACGAACAAAAAGTGCAATTAGGCCACTGAACACTCCAAAAACGGGCAATTAGGTCACTGAACTCTCCAAACGTATGCAATTTTACCGGATAGCAGGTTACCATCAATTTTAGCAGGTTACCTACTTACGTGGCAGATGAGTTGGCATTTTTAATAATTTTTAATAATTAATTTTAATAATAAATTTTATAAAAAATTAAAAAAAATTAAATAAAAAATAAAATAAAGACGTTTTTATTTTTTTAAAAATTTTTTTAAATAAAAATTTATTATTAAAATTTATTAAAAATAATTTAAAATTTATTAAAAATGCCAACTCAGCTGCCACGTAAGCATATAACCTGCTAAAATTGAGGATAACCTGCTATCAGGTGAAATTGCACATTTTTAGAGTGTTCAGTGACCTAATTGCACTTTTTTTTTTTCGTTCAGTGGCCTAATTGCATTTTCAGGTTACGTTCAGTGACCAATTTGAACCTTATTCCTTTTTAAAATGACACATATATTTGCCACATGATGAAACTATTATATCCTTATTTGAACTCTTCGTCTGAGATCTTTGTTAGCAATTTGAATTGTAACCATTCTTACTATTCGTGCTCAATAAATTACTAAGTCTAAAAGAGTTAAAAGAAACGGAGACTAAATTTCCTAAGTCTTTCATTGTCATCGAAATCTAAATTATATTTATTCCTAACACAACATACAAATTAGTAAATACCATCAAGGTTGACACAATAGCAAATCATTGTTTATTATATATTTTTCTTTTCAATAACTAAATTTCTAATGAAATTTATGTGTTGAATATATCAAAATGTACAAAGTTTTTATGAGAGTAATTGCTTCAATAATATTGAAGTTGAATTACTCATCTTTTGGTGTCATAATTGTTTCGATTGCAATCTTTGTGCCTTGTAGTGCACAATGTTGCCTTCTAGTACACATTGTTGTGCATTGCAGTACGCAATGTTGTACCTTCCAGTGCACATTTTTTTGTAGATGAGAAGTGTCAAAATTTTTTAAAGAGAAGTTGATCTTGACAAACAACTTAATTAATTTTGATCTGATAGATAAGAAATCAAGTAAAAAAGAGAGGTCATTTTCATAAATATTACAATTTTTTAAAATTTGTAATATTTATGAAAACGAACACACCTTTATTTTTTATTTTATTTTATTTTATTTTCAACCGTTTGATATACTATATCAATGATTTGAATTTGTCCACAAGTTCTTACCTGAGGCATGATTCTCATGAGAGCCGGACAATATATATATATATATATATATATATATATATATATATATATATATATATATATATATATATATATATATATATAGAATTAGGTTCTGGTGCGGTTAGGGTGCCTAGGTGCGGTTGTGCGGTTTAATCTGTGCAATTCATCTCGCTTAAATCAACGTTTAGGATTATCAAAATTTTTTAAAAAAACGCAGTGACAATTTTGTAATTTTTACATCTAGGTCAAAATTAAAGTGAGTAGATCTGTGATTAATGTGCGTGAATTTTGTATATAAGATCCGTTCATCCCTTCATCCCTTCAAATTTGAAAAAAATATATGAAGGGATGAAGGTAGCAGCTATGGCGGCCTTCATCCCTTCAAAGCTCTTTTTTTTTTTTTTTTTTTTTTTTTAAATGAAGGGATGAAGGCAGCCACTGCTTTCATCCCTTCAAAGCTTAAAAGAAAATGAAGGGATGAAGGCAGCTATGGCTGCTGCCTTCATCCCTTTATTTTTTTATTTGTTTTTTTAAAGAAGCTTTTAAGGGATGAAGGCAGCCATGGCCGCTGCCTTCATCCCTTCATGGATTTGGTTGTACCCTATATTTTTTTTTAAATAATTTTTTTTAATTTTAGTTAATTACCTGTTGGTAATCTGCTATTGTAAGTCACTTGAGATTAATTGCATGATTTTACAATGTTTAATGATTTAATTGTATTTTTTCGTTCAATGGCCTAATTGCACTTTCAGGTTATGTTCAGTGGTTAATTTGAACCTTATTACATTATTTTATTACCAGCAAAAATTTGAAGATTGCAACTTGCAAAGGCGTCATGCATGATATCATCAAGTTATATCTTGTCAAAATTGGTCATGCAGACTCTCGATGGCCGATGTTTTATTTCTTTAATGTCTTCATTAATATTTATTTGACATTTTAGTCTTACTATGCTGCTATGGAGCTTGTACTTAGATTGCACATATGTCCTTCTTGAGAGAAGGTCACATGACCGAAGTCTAGTAGTGGGACAGATGTAGATGATATTAAGACACCCGTCTCACATGAAAGATTTTCCGTAAGAACGGTTTCACACAAGTTTTTGTCAAGAATCTTTATATTCTTTATTATTATTATATATAATAAAGCAGAATCTAGCCACAAAATTTTTCCTCCAAAGTGTGAATGCATTTTGATAGAAACAAGATTAGAAGTATGAATGCATTAATTGTGTGGGCAGATGTATTTATACATATTTTTTTTGAAGTTATTATGTGTATTTATATTTTATAAATTATATTTTATTATTATAGCTCTATCTCTATCTCTATATATATTAAAACATAATGAAGTATGGAAAAAAGTTTATTGTGTTCAAATTTATTGATAAAGTTTTATATTTATTATAATTTGTGTATATATTCATTTAAACCTCAATTATAATTAATTTTACTCCACATATATAAAGAGGGGAAATTAGATATAAAATAAATATAGTTCTTACATAAATAATCTTTTTTTAAATGAATAAGTTTTTGGTGGAGATTTTCGACAAATATCGCTCGTTATTTTATTTATAAGTTTTATTTAAATATTACATTGTATAGTTATACTTACATTTTTAATCAAACTAATCCTGAGCTAAAACAACTCAAGTACGTTTTTCTGTTTCCATAACCATTACTTTCTTTGCTAATTTAGAGAATGTAAAAAATTTAATTGGTAAATTTGTTAAATTAATAATAGTTCATACATCGCATGGGACAATTACTAGTAATAATAATTTAGATATTTCATTTATTTCTTTAAATTAAATATCATATTATTAGAACTATTGTTATTGTTATTCTTCAAAATTCAAGGATGTCCATTGATTCAAAGACCTTTATTAATAGGAGATATAGGATTACATATATATTTTGAGATACTAACCATCCCATCCTCAATCCTACACTCCACAAACTATTAAAAAAAAAAAGGTCAAAAATTAATTTCATAAAGTGACGTCATGACACGTCATCCTTCTGGTTTGGCGCAAAGCTTCACCAACTCCGCAGTGACTGCATCCATCTCTTTGCTCGCTCTCGACTTCAAATTCTCACTTAGGTGTTTGGTTGGGAGGAAGGAATTAGGAAGGAAAGAAATTACAATTCGGTGGGAAAAGAATAAGGTGGGAATAATGTATGAATTCAAATTACATTGTTTGGTAGGAGAAATAGAATTATTGGGAATGAGAAGGAAAAAAGTGGTATAAAGACTAATAAGAAGAATAACAATCATCAAGGGTATTTTTGTCATTTCATCAATCTTTTCCTTTCCCAAAAGCATTGAATTGCAATTCATGGGGTACCCCATGAATTGCAATTCAACAAAAGGAGGGAATTGCAATTCCATGGAATTGCAATTCCCTCCAACCAAACACTGTAATTTGTCTTGCAACGGAATAAAGTAGGAAAAGAATTACAACTACATCCAACCAAACACCTTCTTATTCTCTCCGATTTATCCTCCCACCGTCGCTCTCACAGCTTCCGCTATTTCCTCCCGGTGGAGCTTACCGCCGTTGTCTCTCTCCACCTCCACCACCGCCCCAATCTCCACCACCAGCCAGGCGTTCACTGGCTGATCCAGCTGCATTGGCACGACGATGATCGGAAGGCTGAGGTTCAAGCTTTCCATTATTGAATTCCACCCGCAATGGCTCACGAACCCGCCGGTGCTGCGGTGGCTTAGAATCTTCTCCTGCGGCGCCCACCCTTCTATTATTCTTCCTTTCTCGTCGATTCTTTCGAGAAAACCTGGCGGGAGAGCTTCTTGTGCCGAGATTTCTTTTCCCTTGGGGAATCTAAGCACCCATATGAAGTTCACATTTCTGAGCTCCAAGGCGAAGGCTATCTCCTCCGTGTCTTCCTTGGTCAGGAAATATTCGCTCCCGAACGAGACGAACACGGTTGAACTCGTCGGTTTTCTCCCAAGCCAATCCATCAGCTCCGCTTTGTCGTGTCTTTCTTGATTCGCCGTCGCCTGGAATGTTGATCCAACCGGCACTGCCTGTAAGAAATAATACTAGGAAAAAATTATTTCCTAAAAATAGTTTGGTGGATAGAGCATCTATACTATACAATTTGTATTCTCTAGAGGGTCTAAATTCACTTTTCAAATGAATATGTGACAATTTTTTTTCTTAATATTTCCACCCTCATTTTCTAACTTAAATAGATCTAATATGTTTTTTTGTTCACACATTATTCGTTTTGAGCTTATAATATATGGATCTCAATCTTTTTGTCTCACGGTAAAAAATTCGAATTCAGTTAACCCCGACCCAAATGGATAGTGGACCCCACATATATTTATACGTCACTTAAAATGCAATTTTATACTACTCCCTCCCCTCTCATTTTATATGTCTTACTTTTTTTTTTTCTTTTTAATTTGTCCAAAAATGTTGTCCTCC